TAAGATCGTATAATTTTACACGTTATAGACTTTCCTTACCCACTTCCTTGATACAATGTTGGTAGTCCTCAATGTAACGCTGACAAGAGTTAACACTGAATTGGGGGGGAGGGGAGGGTAGAGACATTGGAAAAGTGAGCAATCTATGCTCATTAGCAACATTTTAACAGTTTTGTCCCCGATTAGGTATTTCAGAGATAGTTATATGATAATGGTGATTAATCTCCATGTTCTCTTCATTTGTACAGGGTGGGGCAAGCTATCAGCCGGTGGGGCTGATCCACGTGTCCTCATGCAAGTGTCCGTTCCCATCGTCTCACGAAGAAAGTGCCAAAATTCGTACCCTGGTCAAATTGACGATTCCATGATCTGTGCCGGGTACGATCAGGGGGGCCGAGACTCTTGCCAAAACGACTCTGGGGGTCCTCTTGTGTGCGAGCAATTCGGGAGGTTCTATTTAGAGGGTGTGGTCTCGTGGGGTGAAGGATGTGCCGGACGGTTGAAATACGGTGTTTATGCCAATGTCCGATATTTGAAGAGATGGATATACAATAATATGAGATAATGATATAAAATAAACATATATCATGGACTCTAGATCTTTTGTGTTAAGTTAGATTTATTGTCGTATGAAACATATTCAAGAAAAAAAAGTAGGTCGAAAAAAATGAACGATTTTCGTTCATAAAGCATGGGCTATAGCCCACCAAAATGGACAAAAATGAATAATTTTGATCAAAATGCACGGCCTATAGCCTAACAAAATGGCCGAAAATGAACAATTTTGATCAAAATGCATGGGCTATAGCCCAACAAAATGGACAAAAATGACCGATTTTTTATCAAAATGCATGAGCTATAGCCCACCAAAATGGCCAAAAAATAGTCGATTTTTGATCAAAATGCATGAGTTATAGCCCACCAAAATGACCAAAAATGGTAGATTTTTGATCAAAATGCATGAGCTATAGCCCCCCCAAAATGGCCTAAAATGACCGATTTTTGATCAAAAAGCATGTGCTATAGCCCATCAAAATGGCCAAAATGACCGATTTAAATCAAAAAGCATGGGCTATAGCCCACCCACCAAAATGGCCAAAAATGACCGATTTTTATCAAAAAGCATGGGCTATAGCCCACCCACCAAAATGGCCAAAAATGACCGATTTTTGATGAAAAAGCATGTGCTATAGCCCATCAAAATTGCCAAAAATGACCAATTTTTGATAAAAAAGCATGGGCTATATATAGCCCACCAAAACAATGACCAAAATTGACCGATTTTTGACCAAAATGCATGGACTATAGCCCACCAAAATGGCCAAAAATGACCGATTTTTGATCAAAATGCACTTCCATCTTTATTCATTTGCGAAAAATCATTCAATTATTTATTTCATAAATGTGTTTCAGACAACATGACTACCTAAAGCGTGAACACGCGGCTGAGCTTATAAATGACTTCATTATTGGATTCTTGATTTCATTATTTGATTCAAAGATTCATTATTGAAAACGAAGAGTTTTATATTCAAACGAATATAATACTTCTATACTTGATCAAACGTCGACTAAACTATTTCTTTCCACTGAACTTCTTTTGAACGAAGTTTGCGGCTTCCACGGCCCATTTGTTGGCTTCACCAGGCAGCTCTCTCAGTACATTTGCAGAACGCTGTTCTACTTGGTCGACCAATCCGAGCATTGCTTTGTTCTTTGGATCTTGTATAAAAACTCGCTTGGCATCCTGGTCCACGAATTCCCTCCTGTTCAAAATTTGTTCAATCAATTCACGAAGGTGATTTTGAAGTGCCAGGGTCTCTCTTGGGGATGGCTTTCCTTGTATTTTGATATCAACGAATTTGGCTGTTGAAATATACATCAAAATGCCATCGAGTAAGAACATACTAATAAATGAATAAATAAATAAAGTCTTTTATTKTGAGAGGGTAGCACGAAYTARTCTCTAGACTAATAAACGAAAGAAATTCTTCAAAAGTTGGTTCGGTTGAAACCGGACCAACCGAACCGGTGGCTACGCCYCTGTTCTATTAATATTATTTCAACCATGCRTCACCCGATAGGGGATTAGCGTTAGCTATCTAAAAAACAGTTCATTGCGGACTGTCGAATGGTCTCCTTCACGGGTACCTGCGCCATCTTGAAAGGTAGCCGTGCCTTTGCACTGAAGCGAGACGGCCGTTGAGCGTGCAATGATAGATACCTGTGAATAATTGTCTATAGGTGTGAAAGAAGGTTTCTATCCCATTTCACGCTCAACGGTTGTCTTGCTTCGATGACAAGGCATGGCTACCTTTCAAGTAGGTAGGCGCAGGTAACCGTGAAGGAGACTATTCGATAGTTTTGGACATTTTTCTGATTTACTCAAAATCTAGCTCGAAAAGTTGTTTTTATGTTTTGATATGTTGTAGATATGGCACTTTTCCTACAGGAACAATTTCAGGGTAGATCAACGACTTAGATGTTTATCCATTTTGCGTTAAACACAAAATTGCCTTATAGTCTGCCATGTTAAATGTTCCACCACAGGAACCCCATCAGCTAAAAAGTGCACGCGCGGTAAGGATGACCTTAAAATGCAGCGGTTTTACTTACTAATCAAGGCAAAGACTCTTCTTCTGAGTTCTGCGATGCTTTCGCTCCATCGCAGAGAATTAGCATCCGCCCCTTCGTTTGCCCGTCCATAGACGGTAAGGCTATCACGATCAGTTGTCAACGTCTTGTCTTTGTACTCACTAAAGGCGTTGTCCATAAAAGGGAACTGATTTGTTACATCTTTGTTTTTATCTGTGGTGTCTTCAACTATAAATTGGCCTCCCGGGCGAGCTGTACAAAATTTACTGATACTCGTTTCTTCAAATATGTCTTGAATCATTTTTGTGAAAGCTCTCGCGATGTTGTTGAATAAATGATCGCCCTTTTTGTTGCCGTCCTGACATTCTCCACCAAAGGCAAAAACAGCCAGTAGTATAAATATAAGATTCAGAGCCTTCATTACTGTTTCTAAATAATTCAAAACAAAAGACTTAGAACATACAATCATGAAATAAGATATAGAGAAATGTTTCATGAACATCATATTATGTATAATGATCGAATATATTTTGTTTTACTTAAAAGTTTGAAGCTTAAAACACTGATCTTTTTGATATTAAAATCAGTCTTGCATGGTTTCAGTAGCGAGAGGGCAGGGGGGAAGCACACCTTTTTTGAGTAAAAATTAAAAAAAACACTTAAACAAAACCAAAGCATATTAAACCAACACAAAAATATTTTCTTGCCATGCCCCTGCTTGAAATGTAAACTTGCACTACTTAGTACGGTCTAAAATTGGAAAATATTTGGAAGAGGTGGTATACATGTAGGAAGAGCGGTTCTTTGATTTATTTTGAATGTACCCAGCTCTTCGCTCACATAAGCTTTTAATTCTGATACTACATGAAGTAAATAGTTGTTTGTTCGTCTCAGCATTGTTGCGTTTTTAAGTTATGAAAGTTTATTTGTCAAATATGTTAATGTTTGGCCAGAAGTACATAACCAGAAGTGTCCATCTCCCCAATAATATCGCCACCATCAGATGTCCCGATAATCTATTTTTAGACAACCAATCACAACGCGCGCACATATATCACGGCACCTGATTGGTCCTTGTTGATCTACTTCAAGAGCGGACAAGAAAAAGAAAAATGTTGTCGATGGAGGCGAACGAAGTGAAGTTTGCATTACAAGAATTTTACAGCTTTTGCTGAACAACCATTTATGAATTTGGTAGAAAACATTGTTTACTATATGAGCAATGTAGCGAAGGTAGTTCAAGAGCAACATGGTCTACGAAAACAAGGGAAAAGTTCAGACATAGACGAAGAAAAATGTAAACAGCGTGCTAAGAAAAGTAGTGTAAAGCAGCTTCCTTTATACAGTCAAATAGAGCTGGACTTAAACAAAGCCAAAGGTAAAGTAATTTTCGACTGTTAACGTGAGATGGAAAAGCTGTACATTTTCAGGTAGGTGGGCTTTGTTTTGAAATTCAAGTTAGTTATCGATATTTCTTTGACGACTTCTTGTTGTTTGTGGCTTTTTATAACTTATCTTGTTTATTGTTAACTTAAAATTCGACATGATTTCGTTATTACCCTCTGTCCCTATTCGCTAGTTTGTTTATTCCTCACTTTTTCTTTAAAAGAGCAACTCCTTACACAATGAAGAGTATGAACTTAATTTGAACATCGTTTTGCTAAAAGAGTTTTTGATTGACTTTTTGTGACATTTTTCGCATCGCTTTGTATTAGTTTTTCCTTTTTTATAAAGCTATTTAGATCCTAAAATACCTTCACTTCAATAGTCTGAGGGCTTTAATTATATTAGAACAGATTTCTTATTAAAACGAGTACAATTCCTGCCAAAAAATCACATTTTTGCATACATTTCTTCGCACGCCTTTTGTCTGCATCTTTTTCATCTTTGTCTCGAACTTTTCCCTTGTTTTCGCAGACCATATTGCTCTTGAACTACTATCGCTACATTATTCATATAGTTAACTATGCTTTCTATCAAATTCAGAAATGGTTGTTCAGCAAAAGCTGTAAAATTCTCGTAAATGCAAACTTCACTTCGTTCGCCTCCATCGACAACATCTTTTTCTTGTCCGCTCTTGAAGTAGATCAACAAGGACCAATCAGGTGCCGTGTAATATGTGCGCGCGTTGTGATTGGTTGTCTAAAAATAGATTATCGGGACATCTGATGGTGGCGATATTATTGGGGAGATGGACACTTCTGGTTATGTACTTCTGTGTTTGGCTAATCAAAAGACCATTATCATATTGTGAAAAGGTTGAGATCCTAAGGTGTTCTGGGTAAACAGTTTATATGGCCTTGTAAAACTCATGAATAACTAATGAGCAAAACAAAATAAAAATCACAACCGTGAAGAGTGTTGTAGTATTTGATACAAAACTGTCTTGATTTGCATAAACTTCAAATCTAATTTTCTCAGCCAAATTCAATTTTATCTTCAAGTTTTTAGTAGATTATGAATGTATACACCTAAACGTTTCACAAGTAATTTACAACATTCGCGTCC